TGGAAACGTTGTTGAGATGGGTTCTTACAATAGTTTAGACCAGATACATTCGCGAAAGTGGTCGCTTATTACAGGTGTTGTATGTTGTTTCGGACCAAAAATCGATGCCCGCGGTCGCGTTACACAGGTGGTCGTTTAATACAGGTAACTTATACGAAGACTCTATGGGTAAACTATTCCGTGCCAGAAATTTTTGCCAGTTTTGACAGGTGCCCGTCGAATGCAGGTGGTCGCCTAAGCAGTTTTCACTGTATATATATATATATAATATAGAACAAAAATAAAACCACACAATAAAAAAATTAGTTGTTCATCAGCCATTTTGTATTTTCAACACTTGTGGAGTGAAGGATTTTATTATGAAGGAACTCTTTCTATATGATTTTTTTCCATTTTTTCTTATTTTAGGATTCTAGCAACAATGCAATGACTAACAGAAATAAAACAAACATTTTAATCTTTGAATCAGTATCTTCTAAACTGCACACTGGTATGTGTTGTTTTTTATTGTCACTCTACAGGCATGGAGGTTAACAGTGGTGTACATTAAGTTATGCAAAGATTTTATTTCTGTTATAGCAATTTTCTGTGGGTTATACGCTGCTATGGGTTATCTACATATTATAGCAATTCAGAATTGAATAAATACCTTTATAAATGAAATATACCATAATATATATTTCTATATATATTATGGTATATATATATATTAAATATCACAAACATAATACCTGTTGACTATGAGGAATATAGTTTGGTCCATAAGAACTTGCATTAGAATCCAAAGTTTCAGAAGACTGGTATGATTGACTAAATGGACTTGTTAACCACTTCTGCTGAGTATCCATTACATTTGGAGGTGTTTGAATTCTTAAGGCTGATGGAGAAATACTTGAAGCTAGACCTGCATTAAATGGACTACTTATAGCCTGAGCATTACCTTGATCATTTGTTGATCCTGATGGACCTAAATAATTGAAAATAATATTCAAGATGTGATATAATTTATTAAACATATCTGTTTAGCAATTAGTTTATTAATCATTATATGCAACATTTTTTTAATACAATATAAACACATACATCAAAGTTATTCTAATGATCAAATGATAAGACCAAATTAACTATCAGTCTATAACTAACCTGATAGTTAATTCATCTTATCATGAAATTTGTTTAATTCACCAATATACTGGAACTGTTCACAATTGACACTGACAAGAAAAAAAAAAAAGCCTTACATACTTATTCCACCAACACCAACATTTAATAGACATTTAAATAGAAATTGCAAATATTTTCGGCTGTATTGAGAGGCCTTCCTCAAGTAAAAAAATTTGTTCCATCAATCAAACATTTGAAAATTGAGAGAACATTCTAAACCAATTATGATGTGATATGAAATGTGATCTATAATGTAAATTTCAAATCATATCATAACTTGTTTAGAATGTTTCTCCATTTTCAAACATTTGATCAATGGAATGGCTTTTTTACTTGAGGATGGTCTCTCACTGTAGCTGAAAATGTTTTCAATTTCTATTAAATGTTGCTGGAGTAAGTATGTAAGGTGTTTTGTTTTGCTTCTCATTGTCAATCATTAAATCTAATCAATAAAATAAAATTAACATATTAGAAAATTTTCAAGCTAAGTAATTTCTTTAAATATTGAAACACATGAAGTACACGATTTTTTCATAAAGTAAATAATGATTTGTTTCTTAGGTTAGTCATAAGAAACCAAATAAATACATACTTATTTGTTTAAATATATATGTAAGTATGTATGTAAATAAATACATAGATGAAGATAAAAATTATAATATAAACAGAAAAATGAAATATTTGTTTATTTTGATACTTGTCCATTATTGACCATATTTCAATAATAATGTTAGGCAATATCAAGTTATTGGTTTATATCAGTAAAACTATCAAATATGAAACATAAAATAATATTGTATATACTTGAGTAATAGTCAATCCTATGTTAAAATCAACCCTTATTTTTGGCCAAAAAAAAAAATCTGGAATTTTTAATAGACCCAGTATAAAAGTCAATTCTAGTATGTCAACTTTTGCTGGAATTTTTTTCATTGAGAACAAACATGAGAATTAAATATAAAAATTCATGTAATTCCAGTTTCATATTAAAAAAAACAGTTACAAAAAAACAGACTACTTTTTTCTGCAACTTTTACTATCACACCTGAAATATGGAAGTTGATTAGGAGTTAAATCTACTTTTAAAGTCATATTTTGATCCCCTTGGTATGATAAATTACTACATTGCTTCCTAGCTGAAAGGATACTCTGTTATTAAAAAAAAATAGCTGCATCTTTTTTTTACTTGCAAAGAAATCACTTAATCATTTTATTTTTTCATGTAAATAAAAAATTTTTAAAATTATACTTTCCTACAGAAAACAAGCCCCAATTTAGGGAGCCCATTTTCTATAGGAGTGCCAAATCAATAATATTACTGTAACTCACTGTGTTTTGTTAACACATCATTCTGATTTGTTTTTAATCATTTAGAGATAAGTTGGGCATCTGCTACTGATTTGGTACTTTAGATTCTACCTTGAATTTCAGCCCCTCAAAAGTAGTATCCATGTAATAGTTGACCCCATAAGTTTGATCTTAAAAAATGGTCTAAAAAATTCAACCTTTACATGAGTATATATGGTAAATATTCAATAAAAATGCTGATATTTTTAATANTTGGCTTACAATTTTAATAATATAATTTATTATACATAAGTATTATCTAAGATTTCATTAAACATTTTTTTCTAAATTATTGTTTTCTTTTGTTTCTGGCTCCAATTAAAAATTTTTGTATGTATTTATATACGAAATTATACCGACTTACACGAATTTGACTTACACGGTTATCACTCGGTCCCAACTATTGCATAAGTTCAGGGTATTACTGTAAATGTATTTTTTGCTTAAAAGCATGAAGGTTTCTTATGTTTTCAGGTTTATTTCAGTTATCTGGAATTTCATTAACTTGGACACCTGTTCCTCCCATTAGCCCAGATTAACAAGGTTTTACTGTATTTTGGAAAACACATATTTCAATATTTTATTTATTATAATAGACTGTTTGCTGTAATAAATTTCTTATCATCACTATCAATTTTATACTTTACAATTATGTAATAAATACATCATCTTATATTCTAACTTTGTTTTCATAAAAAATTATAGATACTTATTGATAAAACGTGAGTACTACATTAATTCTTAAGTCTATCCAAAACAATTGTAAATCTCTAAACAAGAGTAGTCAATCAATGATTTCTGCAACAAAAATTTTTTCCTGTCAGTTTCTTGCATAAAAAATTACGACAATCTTTTTATCTTTCCAGACCAATAGTTTAATCATGTATTATCATGTATTAAAAATGCTGATATGATAATTAAAATAAAGTCTGTAATAATTTCTCAGAATCAAACTATTCTTACAATTTTATAACCAAAGTTAAAAAAAATAAATAAACTGAAATAAAAAAAATGCATATGAATTTCTAAATTGAAGTGCAGTAGAAGTTTATTAATCTGACAGCTACAGAACTAAAATGGTACTGGATTATTGAATGTTTTCTTATTTTTGCAAAATATAAGTTATATGCAATTTGAATGCTGCAGACATTGCTGAACATTTTGTACTAGAATACACAACTGTATGATTCTGATTTATTTACACACACTAAGATTTCTGTGACACTTTCTGCGTTAAGATTGATTAAAAGATATAAGCATCATTACAAACCCGATGTAATGCAATAACAGCGTCATCTCCCTCTTGTGCCAAATTCATTTGTAATTTAGAATTGTTTATTCCAAATTACAGTCTGATGATTTACGGTAGTCGTTGGTGTGTTATTGATTAAAAGATCTGCTAAAACAAGTTACTGTACAAAATAAATGTTCACAATAATTTATGTGCATATAATATAACATTTATTTTCCAGACATATACTATATACACAGATTCCCATGATGAGAAACCTGTTTTGAGAATGCCGTCCTCAAATTGACCTGTAGGAAAAAATTGCAGATGTGCACATTGCTAAATAATGAGCAGGTCTGATAATGCACACGTTATCTCCAACAAAATAATGTTAATTCAGCTTAACATATTGTAGACTACATATAAGGTGCATTTCATAAATGTAGGTTCAGAAGTATTCTTTTTGTACTCAAAATACTATAACACATCACGTGTATCAATAATTTACTTTATAAGTTAACAATAGTCTAGAGAGGTTTTAAATTACAATAATAATAAGTCATTCTTATAAGTCTGTAATGACTTATAAGAATTACTTATAAGTCATTACAGACTTATAAGAATGACTTATTATTATTGTAATTTAAAACCTCTCTAGACTATTGTTAACTTATAAAGTAAATTATTGATACACGTGATGTGTTATAGTATTTTGAGTACAAAAAGAATACTTCTGAACCTACATTTATGAAATGCACCTTATATGTAGTCTACAATATGTTAAGCTGAATTAACATTATTTTGTTGGAGATAANTCAATGATTAAATCTAATCAATAAAATAAAATTAACATATTAGAAAATTTTCAAGCTAAGTAATTTCTTTAAATATTGAAACACATGAAGTACACGATTTTTTCATAAAGTAAATAATGATTTGTTTCTTAGGTTAGTCATAAGAAACCAAATAAATACATACTTATTTGTTTAAATATATATGTAAGTATGTATGTAAATAAATACATAGATGAAGATAAAAATTATAATATAAACAGAAAAATGAAATATTTGTTTATTTTGATACTTGTCCATTATTGACCATATTTCAATAATAATGTTAGGCAATATCAAGTTATTGGTTTATATCAGTAAAACTATCAAATATGAAACATAAAATAATATTGTATATACTTGAGTAATAGTCAATCCTATGTTAAAATCAACCCTTATTTTTGGCCAAAAAAAAAAATCTGGAATTTTTAATAGACCCAGTATAAAAGTCAATTCTAGTATGTCAACTTTTGCTGGAATTTTTTTCATTGAGAACAAACATGAGAATTAAATATAAAAATTCATGTAATTCCAGTTTCATATTAAAAAAAACAGTTACAAAAAAACAGACTACTTTTTTCTGCAACTTTTACTATCACACCTGAAATATGGAAGTTGATTAGGAGTTAAATCTACTTTTAAAGTCATATTTTGATCCCCTTGGTATGATAAATTACTACATTGCTTCCTAGCTGAAAGGATACTCTGTTATTAAAAAAAAATAGCTGCATCTTTTTTTTACTTGCAAAGAAATCACTTAATCATTTTATTTTTTCATGTAAATAAAAAATTTTTAAAATTATACTTTCCTACAGAAAACAAGCCCCAATTTAGGGAGCCCATTTTCTATAGGAGTGCCAAATCAATAATATTACTGTAACTCACTGTGTTTTGTTAACACATCATTCTGATTTGTTTTTAATCATTTAGAGATAAGTTGGGCATCTGCTACTGATTTGGTACTTTAGATTCTACCTTGAATTTCAGCCCCTCAAAAGTAGTATCCATGTAATAGTTGACCCCATAAGTTTGATCTTAAAAAATGGTCTAAAAAATTCAACCTTTACATGAGTATATATGGTAAATATTCAATAAAAATGCTGATATTTTTAATATTTTTAAAATTTTATAACCAAAGTTAAAAAAAATAAATAAACTGAAATAAAAAAAATGCATATGAATTTCTAAATTGAAGTGCAGTAGAAGTTTATTAATCTGACAGCTACAGAACTAAAATGGTACTGGATTATTGAATGTTTTCTTATTTTTGCAAAATATAAGTTATATGCAATTTGAATGCTGAAGACATTGCTGAACATTTTGTACTAGAATACACAACTGTATGATTCTGATTTATTTACACACACTAAGATTTCTGTGACACTTTCTGCGTTAAGATTGATTAAAAGATATAAGCATCATTACAAACCCGATGTAATGCAATAACAGCGTCATCTCCCTCTTGTGCCAAATTCATTTGTAATTTAGAATTGTTTATTCCAAATTACAGTCTGATGATTTACGGTAGTCGTTGGTGTGTTATTGATTAAAAGATCTGCTAAAACAAGTTACTGTACAAAATAAATGTTCACAATAATTTATGTGCATATAATATAACATTTATTTTCCAGACATATACTATATACACAGATTCCCATGATGAGAAACCTGTTTTGAGAATGCCGTCCTCAAATTGACCTGTAGGAAAAAATTGCAGATGTGCACATTGCTAAATAATGAGCAGGTCTGATAATGCACACGTTATCTCCAACAAAATAATGTTAATTCAGCTTAACATATTGTAGACTACATATAAGGTGCATTTCATAAATGTAGGTTCAGAAGTATTCTTTTTGTACTCAAAATACTATAACACATCACGTGTATCAATAATTTACTTTATAAGTTAACAATAGTCTAGAGAGGTTTTAAATTACAATAATAATAAGTCATTCTTATAAGTCTGTAATGACTTATAAGAATTACTTATTATTATTGTAATTTAAAACCTCTCTAGACTATTGTTAACTTATAAAGTAAATTATATTACAGTAGAGCGTCGATTTTCCGAATCAATTGGGGACTGGGGTTGTTCATATAACTGATATTTCGGATAACCGATTTACGTATGAAAAAATAGTTTAACGTATCCGATGTTGAAATTTTTCTCTGTTGCGTGTCGCTTTGCGTTGAATTTTCGTCTATGTTAAGCCTAACAAAGACTATTGTATCGTTAAAAATTATTTTTTTATTTTGTACAAACAAAAATATATTAAAAAATATAAAAACAATAAAAAATTATACTTCAGATGTTAATTTAGTATCAAAAACATAAAATATTTGAGTAGCTCAAGACAGCCAAAAATTGAAACTCCACAGCACTGGCGAAAATCTAAATTTGCGGACTGGAAATCTTTCGGATGATTGACGTTTCGGATGATTGACTTTCGGAAAATCGACGCTCTACTGTATTTATAAAATTTTATTTTTTCACCATTTCATAAATATAAGTCTAGTCACAACAATGAATGATTATAACATTCTGACAATCACTTAAAAGGGATTTGTAGACAATTAAGCACACTTGCAATGTCTTTCCAATTCTGACAATCACCTGAGGTCAAGAATTACTCAGATGGTGAGTCAAGCTGGTTTATTATTTGTAGACTGAAGAGTGATGTACCTCTCATAAAATGGACTGCAATCACAAACTAGTTTACTACAGTTTAGTAACAGTTTATTAGGATATATATATATATATATATATTCTTATAGAAGACTTTTGTGAAGGCTTCCCTATCAGGATACTTGAACATGTTTATATTTATTACCTTGCCAAATATCTAAGAATATATTAATGCTAATAATGTCATGTTACTTAATGATAATTGGAAACTGCCCTGGATAGTAAGGACTATATTCAATTAAAGGATTAGCCAAGGTTTTAGTTTAACAGAATTATTCCATGCATCCAAAGATTGATCTAACCATTCACCCTCTTAAAAACACAAATCCTCATGCATCAATCCTGCATATAACAAGACTATTTTAAAGTCAATATACTAGAATCTAACTAGAGAACTAGAGGTACAATTAAATGTTTAAGTAATGTATGAAAAGACTTATTTTAGATCCAACTACAAATAATATAAACTTTCATTTCTGAAAATATTCTTATAACACGAATGTTCTNATTGGTTTATTATATTATTTTCATTGATTTTATGATCTGGAACTAATCTTCTATTTTCCCATATGGACAAATTTTTTAGGAAAATGCCTACTGTATAAAAACAGAAATAGATGTATTTAATGAAATAATTCAGGAAATATTCTTATGATGCTATATGTATTTATATATACAATAGATCAAGCAATGGATAAAACAAAATTATATATATATACATATATAATTTTGTTTTATCCATTGCTTGATCTATTGTATATATAAATACATATAGCATCATAAGAATATTTCCTGAATTATTTCATTAAATACATCTATTTCTGTTTTTATACAGTAGGCATTTTCCTAAAAAATTTGTCCATATGGGAAAATAGAAGATTAGTTCCAGATCATAAAATCAATGAAAATAATATAATAAACCAATTAATGTAATAGGATGTGTTTAAAAAGTTATTTCAATTTTCATTAATAAATAAAAGAGACAATTGTAACTTATCAAAAAATTTAATAAATTCATATTAGTACAAATTTTATTTTAATTGTATTTTTTATTTGACTTTTCCAATTGAATATCAAAATACTTTTAGCTTTTTAACGTTAAATGACACAGAAAAACTATTGTGTATTATTGAAAGAGATAAAAAAAAAATCATACAAACAAATTGTCAAACTTCAATTCATCAAATTGTCAAATTAAATTTTTTTCTGACTGCTTTAATTAAAGTAGTCAGAAAAAAATTTAATTGCCAGGTACAGTCAGAATAAAAGACAGATTGTTGCTACACACATTTAAGTAAGTCATAAAAAATAGCCAAATCTTAAATTCACTTGAGCATGTATTGCAGGCTTAAGAACTTTTATTTAGAAAAATTATAGGGACCTTGAATAAGTTCTCACTGTTTTCCAACAGATGACGTTACCAGAACCGCATGCGTGTATTTTTGTAATCTACATTAGTGTACATCTGTAAAGAAGTACAATAAGTGACCTTGAAATTCAGTATATGTCATTTTGCTGAAGTGTAAACAACTTATTTTTTCATAGTGTTAAACTTGTCAAGTTTTGTGCCAAAAAAACTTTAATTTAAAAAAAATTAGGGAATTTTATTGCACTATTTTATTCAAAAAAAAAAAATCTGCAGCTGAAGCACACAGAATTCTTGTTAAGACTTACGGCGACCATGCTCTGTCAGAAACAACATGCAGAGATTGGTTTAGATGCTTCAAAAATAATGATTTTGATGTTAAAAATAAAAAAGGATCTGGTGCACCAAAGAGTTTGAAGATGAGGAATTGGAGGCATTACTTCATAAAGACTCATGTCAGATGCTAGTTGAACTCATTAAGAGTTGATCACACAACAGTTTCAAAACGTTTGAAAGGATTAGGAACGATTCAAAAGCAAGGACATTGGGTGCCATATGAGTTGAAGCCGAGAGATGGCGAACAGTGTCTTTTCACGTGTGAACAGCTGCTTCAACAGCAGAAAAGGAAAGATTTTCTGCATCGTATGGTGACAGGTGATGAAAAATGGATACACTATGATAACCCTAAGCGTAGAAAATCGTGGGGTAAGCCTGGCCATGCATCAACATCGTCAGCAAAGCCATGGTTTGAAGCTTCTGCTCTGCATTTGATGGGACCAGCTAGGTGTAGTTTATTATGAGCTGCTCAAACCAAACGAAACCATCACGGGAGATTGCTAACGACTACAATTGATGCGTTTGAGTCAAGCATTGAAGGAAAAATGGCCTATATATGAGCAGAGACACGACAAAGTGATTTTGCAACATGACAATGTTGTGTTGCACAACCGGTGAAAACCTACTTGGAAACGCTTAAGTGGGAAGTCCTACCCCACCCGCCGTATTCACCAGACATTGCCCCTTCCGATTATCACTTGTTCCAAGCAATGGCACATGGCCTGGCTGAGCAATATTTCCATTCTTATGAAGATGCCAAAAAATGGGTTGATTCTTGGATAGCAACAAAAAATGTGTCGTTTTTCTGACGTGAAATTCAAATGCTGCCAGAATGACGGGAGAAAGTAGCAGCTAGTGATGGACAATACTTTCAGTGACATGATTTTTACAACTATTTTTAAATAAAGTGTTAATTTTCACAAAAAACAGCTAGAACTTATTCAAGGTCCCTATAGAAAAGCAATTTCCAGAATTTAGAAAAATTCTAAGAAGAGCAATTTCCTAGAAAAGGAAATATAAATATTTTTTCTTAGAATTAAATTCAAATGATAATTTTGAAAAAGGCAAAATTTATCGAAAAGTGTTAGATCAAATCATATGTAAAAATAAAGCTGTGTAAGAACAGAATTATGTTTACTTAAAAATTTGAATGTTCATTATAATTATTACCGCCTTTAATTCATAATATGAAAAAACAAATGAAACTAAGCATCATAATTAATTTTTTATTAAAAGGCTAATTTTTAATGTACTGAAAATGGTCCCAGATCAGTCAAAAAAATTAGTTTTAATAAATTTAAATTTTTTTCTAAAACAAATAGAATTTTAATTCAAAATCTAAATTAAATCAATGTCTGTTTAAATAAAAAAAATTTTATTAAAAATTATTACCTGTAAAAGGCACTGTTTTAAGAGGCACTGCTTCATTATTTCCAGGCAAACGAAACAGAGGTGTTTGTTTTCCATTTAACATATGTTCCTTTTGATTTAGTTGTGAAGTGAGCACTGATTGTTGCTGCTGCTGCTGCTGCTGTTGAAATTCAGGTGTGTGATAAAATTTTACTTGGTTAAATGAAGACTGCGTGGAAACATTTGGAGAACACCTAGAAGTATCTTGTGGAAGAAAAGTTGAAGAATTTGGACCATTTGCATAAGCTGAATTTTGTAGTGGAACAGTTGGTGGTAAATTCTGATGTAATAAGCTGGTATTTTGAAGTAAAGTTTTTGGATTATTTTGAGATGGTCCATTTTGAAAATACAAATGTGATGTATTGCTAATCTGAGACGATCTTGAATTCTGCAAATCTACAGCATTACTATTTGACTGTGTAGATCCATAAGTGTTAGATGCAGCTGAAAGATTTGAAGAAACAGAGAATGGAATATTTGTAGGTTTTTCATAACTAGAATAGCATTCACGGTTATCAAATATCTGTGTGCGATGACCGCCATAAGACTGATTACTTAGATCAGACGACGATTTTGTATTTGACATACCACAAGTAACTGCTACATTTAACGGATTAGTTACAGAAGGATCAAAACAATGAACTTTATCACTTGAATTGATGACATCAGGATTTTGCCTTAAAGTTGACATATTCCTATAAAAGAAATTAGCACAATTAAATTTTCTTTACATAAAAACTTATTTCAGCAATCCATATCAGTTTAACTAAAACAATTTACCAAGCAATACATACAAAGTTAGACAAAACATAAAAGGAATAAATATATCNTCTTTTATTTTTATTGATCTTATGATGTATTATTAAATCAGTTCTAATTATCCTTTAAGAGAGACAATCCCTTTTAAAACAAATCATTTTTCCTCATTAAATACATTCCCCAATTAATGCAGTAGTTTTCTGAAATGCATTAACTACACTAATCAGGATATTCCTGTGCTTTCTTTTAGTATAAATATCTTTGTTCCTATATTTACTTAAACTATATATGTTTGGCCTGTTTAATCTTATAAGTGCTATTGTGAAGTATTGATATATTGAGTATATGAGTAAGTCTGTACTACATTCTTACTTCTCATTCTTGCTATTTTTATAATTTTACTTTATATTTTATACTTTCTTTTTAACTTTGTACAGTGGATACTCGATATAGTGAACTCTTAAAGACTAAGCCATCTCATTAACCAATCAAGAGTTTACTACATACATAAAAAATAGTAAGAACCAACAAAATTGTTCACTATAGTGTATCAGGTTATATCAAAAGTCCACTTATGCTTAGATAAAAAAGCGTAAAAAACATTTATACATGTGTTTAGGAAACTTATTCAACGAAATCTTTATCTTTTTCAGATGGACTGCTATGAAATATACTCAGGATTATTCTTAATAATAAAGAAAAATTTTCGGTATCTAACATTCTGTTTGTTGTTTAAATGGGAATTTATTTAACAGATGGTCTTTAAAAAGTCAAATTTCCAAGCATTACCCACTTCTTTCTATTAGCTAATTCTTACAAAATTCTCAGATTGTGACAATATTAACATTTAGAGTAATGTCACCAGCACTTTCACTGGATAGAGGTTGCTTGGTAAAATATCTATCCAAAGAGGTTTGGCTTTGCCTACTTTTTAAAATGTTTCTAAAATGACTTAGGCAAATGTCATTACTCCGAGCAGCAATACGGCCAGTGTGAATCTTTTCTGGGTGTTTCTTTTCAATAAAATCAGTCACTTTCTGATGATACCTCGAGATTTCCTTTATTGAGCGAGATCCTTCCACAACGAAGCAAACATGCGGACTGAGACCGACGAACAGAAGTAAATAAAAAATGGCGCTGCAAACTAATGTAACGTCGTATGGTGAGTTTTTGTTCGTATCGTGGAACAAAAATATGTTCGAATTTCATGTTGTATCCTCAAAATCTCGTATTCTGGGGTGTTCATATCCTGAGGTACCACTGTATTGTAATTTTCTTTTTGAAACCGTGTCCTGTTTTATATTTGTGGCGTAATAAACACTAGTATTGTAATACTAAAAAATTTTATTTTTTAGAATATGTTTCCTTCTTAAAAATTGATTACTATTATGAATATTGCTGGTTCATGTTGTATCAAATTTTACGTGTTCCAAGATCATGATTTGGTTCTAAAGATGAAACTGAAAGGCTCTTAAGATATGAAATAGTTATTAACATTTTATATTTTTAATTAATGCTACATAAATTGTATGTTAAGAAGAAACAAATGAAATTTGTAATTCTAAATAGTTTAAACTCTTATATATATACTTTATAATTTTTATATTCTTATATA